CCAAAATTAAAATGTGAAAAGTAAAAGAGACTAGTTGATAACTCAATGTGTGAGAGTTAAATGATAACTACACATAATGTCACAACAAACAGTTAAAACTGCTCTCTAAAAGCCTTTGAATGAAAAGTCACCAAGAAGAGTTGTTCCATTTTTGTTTTTATTTCATGTCATTTTTTAAAGTAGTTTGCTTTTCAGACACATTTTCAAAACACACCTGAAAATAACCGAATTATTCTGTTTAGCTAAGCCTCAAATGAAATAAAGTGAAAATTGACAAATAAAGAACATTATCAACTGTAACAGTAAGAAATTGTACATTATTTATTCAAACAGTGAGCCAGAGAAATACTTGAACTTTAGAGCTGACCATAAATAATAAAACAACTTTGAAGGCCATTAGGAGTCAGTGGTGTTTAGAATAGGTAAAGACTGGCGGATTTAAACATGAAATGTGTCGCATTTGTACAAAGGTTGGATCTACAACTGATACTGCTAAATATTAAATCCTCGAGTAGCTTTAACAAATAGTCTCATTGGCTTTTGACAGGTGTGTTGAAAGAAACTTCTATTGTATTGCACTGAGTGCACTGACCAAAAGGGAGCTTAAATTTGTTTCTTGACCCAACCAAAGGCTGTCATCATGGCAGCAAAACTTCATGTAAGCAGCACAAAGAAGCAATAGGAGAAATGAAGAAACACAAGGAGCAGCTCAAGAAAACAAAGAAAACTGGACGTGACAAAAGAAACAAAAATGATAAACTGGTGAGTGAAGTGATGCTGAAGAACTAAAAGGACTGGGACTGATAAGAGAAGTGGCTGCAGCTGTGACAGGTGAAACTGGGAGCAGGTGTAGACAGGCATGGCAGGCTGAACGGAAAAATACTGACTGAAAAGAAGTGGCTGGTGGCACAGAGGAAAACACAAGGATTAATCAAATAAAAACCCAATTAACCCAATTAAACACAATAATGAAAAAACAAACAAACAAACAGAAAACATGCTCATGGAAGCCCGTTTCCACGAATGAAGTGTCAAAATTGTGACATTGTATCTCATATTTATGACATATCTTTTGACGTTTTGTTTATTTTCACTGGCCGAAACAGGCTTCCATACTGTGGGGCAGAAACAGGCCTCCATACAACTTAATAATGTGTAAGTAAACAAAAAGACATAAAAAAAATAACAATAAAAACACCAAAAGATCCTGACAAAAATTGATTTTTTTTAATAAAAATTTTCAAGACAATAATTTGTCAAATAACTGAAAAACACTTATACATGTGAAAAGACCAGTTTCTGAAGCTATAATGTTCTTTTTACTTTATTTTTTTGTCATATTCACAAACTCCAAATGTGCCATCAGTTCTCATTTATTATCTTGCCACTGCAGGGGTAAAAGGTTCATGTCATGTGAAGACCTTGAACATGGATACAATTTAATGTGATTATATGTGGCTTTCTGTTTTACCAGCTCTGCTGTCATTTTGACCACCAAAATAAAACATACAGTCTTGGGCTTTCATAATGAAAAGTTATATATGTTTATAAGAATAAAATCCACATGCTCTCCATTTAGTTTGCATACCTCATTTTCCTAATTGTTGTCTTTCTTGTGGCAAATAATTTCCTGTAAAAATGGCTTCTGTCTTACAAAAGTCTCCTCCTTAACAAGAAAAACAAAGTCGGGTAATGAAGCTCTCTGTTGGGAAACTCTAAAACTACAGTTTATTTCTGAAACCTGATTGTCTTTAGGTAACGGTCTCAGGCTTTGATGTTTGTCACATAAGGAGAAGGAACAAATAGGATGAAACAGCTCAACCCCCCTAAAGAGACAAGGCACAGCTGGCCTGGATGGATGAGCTGGATTAAAAATTTTACAAGCTTTTTAGATGTGGTGACAGTCCTCTCTCTCTCTCTCGCTCCTCTTCTGCAGGATTTGCCATTTGTTGCCACAATCAGTGGTTTCAAAAGCCACAAACCTTGGCTCTGTTTTCACTGTGGAGGCACAGGGGGGCAAACTGAGGTCTTGTCATGATTCAAGCTTCCAACCATGTTGTTTTTCTTTAATTTGAGACAAACTCATTTTTGAAATGCAAAATATTATGCTGCAAAAGGACTATAAGTGTTTGAGATGTTTTAAACAGTCTGAACAATTTAAACCAGGGGTCTGCCACCTCTACAATCAAAAGAGCCATTTTACTCCTTTGTTCACTAAATTAAAAGTGGTCAGAGCCGCAACAACTTGCTGTGATTATCAACTGGTGGCCCACGGGCCTCTTTAGGTTTGTTGGAGGGGGCTTTTGTGGCCATTAAGGGTGACATTATAAAGCTAAAAAATATCAAACAATTAATATTTTTACAATTTAAGCCAAATGAAAAGACCAGATTATTGTAAGGGGGAGTAGTTTTTTAAATTAATAAAAAAAAAAGAACTATGCAGACCTATGTATTTTTTTTAATTGTGGGAAAATTAATTACTGGTAAATATAGAAATAAAGCATAAAGTTAAAATGAGTATGTTTTACTCCTTGTGCTAGTTCCAGTATTCACATATTTGCAAAAGAAATGACAGGAAAGCAGCTAAAACTAGTCCTTTTTTGTCGTTTTTATAACAACTGTAGTAGTACATATACGAGATATATACATACAATTTCACGAGTTCCTCATCTTTCTGACTGTGTAAATGTCGTGCATTGAGTTTTAACAGAAATGTAACGAGAGACGTTATTATCTTTGACCCATCAAATGAATGCGGTCATTTATTTTCAGAATCAAAGTTTAACATCAAACATTTACATTAATTTTGGCAAAATATGAAAATAATAACAGACAAGTTTCACAAAAATGGGCTTCAATCACACGGCGGTGATTGAGGACTTAGCTTCAGATATTTCTAAATATCTGTACTGATTTTAGGAGAAAGCAGAGTTTAAGATGAAATGGAGAATTTATCTTACAGAGAGATTTGTGAGGGAATTAATCTGTTTGACCAGAAAACGTGCACGCTCCATCAGATCTCAGCTTGCGACGGTACGCTCGGTTGAAGTAGATCGTTACCTGGTTGACGATGAAATCAGCTCGGTATAGAATCCTTCAGACTTTTTCAGCGTCTCCGTTGAGCAGCTGAAATCCTTCGAGAGTCGTGCGTGGTGTTCAAACAGAAATTATAATCCCAACATCGTCACTGCATTCTGTATTCCAACGGAAGCACTCTGGGCTTCAGACATCAGAGTTTTCTCCTTCAGCCTTCAGAACTCTCAGACTCTAGAACTTCTTCAGAACCTCCATCACTCTGAGACTCTTGGACCCTCGGACTCTTGCAACTCTTTCACTCCCAGACTCTTCATTCTCTAGATGAACTGGGAAGTTGCCACATTTTAAATGGGTCGACTTCCGGGTCATTTGAGAGCTTTTGATTGGTCGATGGACCAGGAATAGAGGTGTGGTGTATGATGTAAGATGTTATTAAAAATCAAGGATTGTTTAGTAACAAACAGAAAGATTATTGTAGGACTTCAGACTTCGTGGAGTCTCACTCTTATTATCTTCTGAAAAAGTTTAAACATGACATTTTTCTCGGTAAACATTTTAGTTGACCGAAAACCGACCTTTAACATACTTACATTGCAGACAGAAAAATCAAGAAATGCATATTAACCTGATTTCTTCTTTGAATGAGGAATAAAAATCATTACTTACTGTTTATGTAAAATAAAAATGAGTAGTTCTCTTCAACCTGTAACATTGAGTGAACTAACACAATTTGATTATCAAACATTTGTAAAACAGTGATGATCATAGAGAATTGTCTTTTCTGCTTGATTAATTCAAGAAAGAAAGTCACCAGATGGATCAAACTGTACTTCTGGATGCAGATCAATGAAATAACAGTCTCAGTTCATCTGATCAAGATTTGAGGTCATCAGGGTCAGATCAGGTTCACTACACAACCAATAAAATTTAGTTTTATGTTAGTTTTGGAGCTGCTGCGGAGGAACCAAAGAGCCACATGTGGCTCCAGAGCCACAGGTTGCGGACCCCCTGATGTCAACAGTCATCGCTGCCATTTGTTTTGTACCTACAGAAAATATAAAAAGACACACTCTTGTTTACATATATTTTTTTTACAAAATTTTTCTAAATATAAAATGTGGAGAAATGTGTCTATCATGTTGCCACCATAATTTAGATTTTTAAAAAGCATTTTAGGACTTTTTTCTATTTTGTGTGCAACAAAAACCTAATGCATGATCAATAAGTAAACATCCTGGTGTATGGCTAAGAAGGTGAAATGGATGAGCTTCATCATAAAATGAAAAATAAAAAGTTTAGGGAAACAAGTTTAAAATAAAGCACGAACACAAACCAAGATGCACAGATTCTTAATTGAGTGTGGCAATAAAGTTGCTACATAAAGCTGAAACAGAAACCCATAATACCAAAAGCCAAGAAACAATTCATTATTTCATAGTATATTGGACATAATTAACTTGTTTCTTTAAAGGGATCAAATGGCATAACATGCCTATATGTAAAACCAGTCCAGCTCCAAGACCCTCAAAACCCCAGTTCTGCTTCTTTGATTTTTAAGTAATTCAACATGTAACTTGATAGAACTGCCTGAGGGCATGTGGTGTTTGTCTCCATCTGTTGGGATAATAAAGGTACCTGAATGAAGATTGCTGTAGCAGACAAACACACTTTCTTCGCATGTTCTAACATGAATAAAATTATATTTGTAATCCTAACACCACATATATCAGTCACTAAAACGGTGACAAGTGGGCTTTTTAGTTCTCATTTAATTACAAGGAAATCACAAAGCATTTTAGAAGCAATGGCAATAAAATAAATAAAACAAATACTGCACTTCATATTGCTGGGTAGTTGGGCAAAGATACCATCGGTATCAGTTTTTGTATTTTTAATGAACAACCTGTAAAAATTTTCAAAGGCGGAACCGTTCTTTCAAGTTCGTCGGGGAAGGATTTCTTGGTCGGACCCGGTTGTTGCTTACATCTTACAGATTTGAACTTCCTGGTGAGTGTTTTATTTCGACTATTTGAACTTCGTAAACTCACTAATTAGCCTATCATAATATACATATGGGTGTTTTTTTCTAAATAAATAAAACTGCGTAACGTGTTAGACAAATGACGGTATCTTGTGCCATGTTTGTGAGTCCGAGGCCCGTTAGCTAACGTTAACTATGCTGCGTTGTCAACATATGACGGGTAACGGAGAAAAACAAGAGCAGCAACTTCCTAATCAATGACAGCTCCTTTTGTTTCTATAATATTCTTGTGTCAGTTTATGTGGCATTATTTGGCTTCACAGGAGATGGGCTTTTAAAATGCTATGATACAAAAGTTAGCTGATTGTGCTCGTATTTAAAAAAATTGTTAGTGAAGTGATGTGGCTTCATTTTCAACAAGGAAGTGTTGACCGTATGTGTCGCAACCTTTTAAAAGCTGGTAGTTTTTTTTTTTCATGACATCATAATCTTGTTGAAATACCAAGTTCAGGTCTCAAGTTAGTGAAGTTAGTGATGAATAAAACAGAGAACCTCTAAGAAATATCAGCATCTGTGAAGTAAGTTCTGTTTCTCTGCTGTTCTTTTCAAGTGTCCTTTCTACTGAACTTTTTTACTGCCTTTAAATAGTTAAAGGATAAAACACATTTCTCTTTTTAGTACTTGAAGAGAGTCTTAAGTTGTCATTCACCAGTAATAAACAATAACAAACCACTCAGCTTCCACGATATCTGTGGCAAGTTGTACTCCTTCAGTAATTAATAAATAAAATGTGCAATGTTACTGAACCTCAAACCTCAATAATACGTTAAATGTACTCAAGCACAGTGACACAAGCCGTTCAGAAAGGTGTACTGTTAGGTCAAATAAGGTCTTTATACGAGACCTTTTCAGCTTAAGCAAATTGTGGTTGTATTCATTGCTTGTAATTAAGCATTGTTTTAATTTACATAAAGACTGTGATCCTCTTTAATATTCTGGAGTTCTTTTGTGACTGCTGGAAGAAAAAGTTGGTTAGGGAGTTTTCAGTCTGTTGAAATCAAAAGGTCCACCTAATCTAGTTTTGAGTCTTATTACTGATCAAAGGCCAAGCTCATCCCTCTGGACTATAAAGAGTCATCCGATTCAGTTCATTACAGCCATAAATCTTTTATATGCCTCATCCTGAAGCCCAAACTTAATTTATGTGGCGCATGCAGTGTTATACATTTAAAGTGAAGATAAATATTTATCTATGATGAATGTGTACAGCTGTTTTTATCATGACTGTGTCAGAGCACCTGATACCTTGTGACTTAAAGATACCGTGGTGCAGTTCTTGAACGTAGTGACACTAGTGGAATATGAACTTCTCACGGTTTTGTTTTTCTGTTCTTTTAAAGCCATTTTCTTTTGCTTATTTTAGCAACAATTTAGGTTTTTGTTATCATTTTTATGAATGTTCAATTCATGCGTTACACAATGTATTATTAATTTGTTTTCTATGTCAATATTTTTGACCCATTTTAATCCAGGTGTTGATGACATTGTAAAGTTTGCACACAGTCAAGGCCAAATAATTTTTCATTGCACAAGCATTTGCCGAGAAAATTCCTAAAGCGTTTCAATCAGTTAAAAATAGATAATTGCATAAGACGGTTAAAAAATTTGGAATACATTGCAAAATAGTTCTCAGTCTTGTTTACTGTTACTGTCTTTCAACAGGATTGTTTATCAGCAAACATTCCTCGAAGTCAAACTGAGAATATACAAAAATCTGCTTTATTTCAACATCTACCTGCCTTGTTATCTTGTCTGTTGTTTTAGAAAGTCAGCCACTGTTTAAAAAAAAAAAAAAAAACTCTTCCCTTTGGCTACAAAATAAAGTCCATTTAAGGTTCTAACAGCACATGATGTTAATAAATGAGTTTTGTCTACTTATCCTTTAATCAAACATACTGAATCAAATCGAAAGACTTCTAACATCACAATATATTTTACAGTATTGTTTTTAAGCAACAATGATTCACATGAATTAAGTTTTTATGTTCAATAAAATATTGTAAAATATAAAGTCAAACTTTGATTTGGTACTGCGTTTGTAGGTGATATTATAAGATAGAATATTTGTTCCCAGAATGTTTCCAGTAACATTTTGTCTTTTATTGCCAGCAGGTGGAGGGATGAGTCTCTCCCCTGCGATTGGCACTGAGGTGCCAGAGACAGCTAATGGGGTGGTGACACCAGTTTCTTTGGAGAATGGTCCTCATGCACCAACAGTGGTGAAATGTGGAGGTTGCAGATTACCAGGAACTGGAGAGGAATCAATGGATGGGTCCCATGAATATACAGAGAACAAAGTGGAAAACAGAGTTTACACTGAAAAAAAACATCCGGACATTGAGAAAGACCTCAATGAGAGAACGTCTAGTTTATCAATAAACAGTCCTGAGGAGGCAGAGCCCTCCTTAAATTATGGGACATGTACAGGAGACTCAGAATCCAGAGACATTCCTGGCACTTTTATGACTAATGATGCACATAATTTGGTGCTTTTATTGGATTCAGCACAGCATGGAGCATCTAAAAACTCATGTCAGCAAGGAGGTCCTACAGACAGACAAGCAACACTTACAGGAAGTTTAGAAAGAAGTCGAGAAGAAGAAGATGGAGAGAGAGAGAAACAGGATGAGGAGAACGATGAGAAGAATGAAAACAATTGGAGGAGTTCAGGAGGGAGAACAGAAATAAAGGTGAGTGGACAGTAGGATATATATTTTTTATTTAAAATAACAGAATAACAAATAACAGCCCACACACATATTATGTACAGGATGTCAACTGAAGGCAGTGCAAATGACTGCAGCTGAACCAGTGGAAGTGAAAGCAGTTAAACTGTACTGAGGCTTTGGTTAGAGTCAAAGTTTAAAAATATGCTTTTTCTCTTTAAAAGAGAAAAGTGGAATAAACCATTAACTATTTTAACAATGGTTTTACTTTGTTACTTTCTTTTCTACTACTGCCTTTTTTTCATTAATCCCCACTCCGGTTTACAGTCTTCACAGCACTATTCCTCTTCAGCCCCTGGTCCTAGCACCTCCTCCTCCTCTTCTCCACCGGTTCTTACCTCAGATGATACTCCATGTCCTCCTCACATAATGGCCCAGGTTTGGGTTCGCAATGTTCGAGGGATGCAGGACAGCAAGAGCCTGGATGAAATTAGCCAGGCTTGTGGAGGTAGGTTTCTGTCTCAGGTTTGACCATGTGTTTCCTGCAGTTTGGCTCTTTCTTTAAATTTCTGGTGTTTTTCACAGGTGGATCAGGAGCACGAGGAGGCGGTAGAAGTGGGCAGTCCGAGGGCAGACGGGCCACGATCTCCTCAGCTCTGGAGCTAGAGGGAACCGTCAGTCACGAAGGAGACCTGACCAACTTCATCACTAAGAATCTGGAGCAGAAGATCAAAATGAGTTCCAAGCCCAGTCTGGACTGCAGTGACTGTGAGTGAGAAGTTAAATCTAGAAATAATTTATGAACTAACATTTAGAATTAGACTGAATGTTTGAAAGCTATCATGAATACAGTTTACTGGATTTAGTCTCTCATGACTATATGTTCAAACTGAGAGCCTCATAGTTTCAGTTAAAGATAAACATGATGCTACAGTTGAAAATGAAAGAAAATAGTTAAATAATTGCATAGGGAATTGTCCAAATCCAAGGTTTCTGTAAAACAAGAAGCTTTAGATTTAGATAAAAGTTTTTGTTTTTGACTAGTAACAGAACAAAGAAAACTAAAGTCGTGTAACTGTTTCAGAAATCGAATAATCTCTTGAAAACATACAGCCTGGCTTAATCTGCTTTATTCATTACCAGCCATCTGTCTTGTCAATCGATTTCATCCATCCATCCATTATCTTTTACCCGCTTCTTCCATTTTTGGGTCACGGGGGTCGCCGGTGCCCATGTCCGGCAATCACTGTGCGAGGGACAGGGTACACCCTGGACAGGTCTCCAGTCCATCACAAGGACACAAACAACCATTCACTCTCTCACTCACACCTAGGGACAATTTAGAGTTACCAATCAGCCTAACATGCATGTTTTTGGTCTGTGGGAGGAAACCGGAGTATCCGGAGAAAACCTACGCATGCACGTAAAGAACATGCAGACTCCACCCAGAAAGGCCCCCCGGACCAGGATTTGAACCAGGGACCTGCACGCTGAGCGGCAGCAGCTCTACCAGTTGTCAATCTATTTTATTTTATTTTATTTATTTATTTTTTTGTGAAACCACTGAAAAGCTGCTTTTTATCTTGAAGAGCCTCTTGATGAGAGTATCAGCTAAAGTAGCCATTTAATTTAAGCCCAGTAACACAGTCAATTTTCCCTGTGTGGCAGCTTATTCCCTCTACCTGCTGATTCAATTAAGGTGGATGACTCGCACTATTTGGGCTTGAAGGATTTCCAATTAAAATTCAGCTGCTTCCCGACAGGAAAGACGTGTCTCTTTTAATTTTTAACAGCCATAGACCATCAGTCATTTCTGTATTTTGCAACGTGTTGATCCGAAGATAAAAATAGTTATTTTGGTGAAGATGTTTTTAATGCACATGTTGAAAGCTTTGTGCTACTCTTGTCCTTCCTTGTATGTTTGTGCAATGTTGTATCACTGTCATGTTTTGAGCATGACGAAGAACATGAAGCAACCTCGCACTTAATTTACTTAATTTTACAATCCTAAATTCTCAGCTGACTGCTCAGGTCCCATCTACCGAAGCCGAGGGTTGTCACGGAGACCGGCAGACATTCCACCTATTGATCCTGCAGTTTTACTGGATCTTCAGAAACACACCCAGGAGGTGGCGCTCAGTGTGGAGATGATGATGAAGAGCCTCAATGGAACCATACAGAATGTAAGTGTTCAACTGTCATTTTAAGGCTATTTTTAACTTGTCCATCATTTGTTTGTTTTAATAACCATCTAATGTCTCCTGTGTCCATCAGATGACAGCTCTGAGCGTGGGCTACATCCAGACCTACAGAGACTCAGTTGACAGCTTGGGGGAGTCTGTAGACATGAGTATAAAGGTGAAAAATAGTGTGTTCCCATTTCACATAAAGGAAAAAAGTGCCTGCAGCATGTTTTTGTGATGTTAACTTGATTAGATTTTACCAGAATATTGTATTACAGAATTTGTTTTCTACATTGTACTGCACATATAAACAATAAAATCCAAAAATGTAACATATATCCCAGTGGGCAACCTTAAAGTTGTCCTCAGAATTGCACAAATTTACTGTTTATTGTGCTTTACAAGCATTGATTTATTTTTTAAATATATATTTTTTAACATTTTTCTTTTAGGGTATGTACACTCTAATGGCTCGCTGTGAGGAGTTGGATCGTTCCATGCAGCCCATACACACTTTGGCTGCACAGATCCGGGACATCAAACGCACTCTGGATGCTCTAGAGGCCATCTGCAAATAAGCCCTTCTGCCAGGTCCGAACACACGCCCAAAGCTGCAAAGACTCAAAGTCAAGCTCATCCTAATAAAGGATGCTGGCAACCCTCCGCAGGTAGCACACACACACTGCAGCGAAGATTAAAAGTGCACCCCTGGAGTGCGGGAATCATCGCTGCTTGGCATGCTGAAAGATCGCCACCCGTAGTTCTTCTGTTCATCTTTTGAAGTCTGCCAATTTTGTGTTGTGGGATCTTAAAAGAATTGTCTTTCCTTCTAATCAAGTTCTCAAGAATCAAAATCTCACAGCTTAACTCTGTTTGGGGACTTCAAACCCTACACTCACGCAATTCGTTCTTTTTCTTCTCCACTTTTTGGTCCTTGTGACTTTTATCCGTCCTGCCAGCATGGTTTAGATTGCACTAACCTCTCCCTCCCAGGTGGGGGCAATATTTCTGTCTCTGGAGAGGCAAGAATAAACTGCTCAAAAGACGGTGACATTTGCACTCAAACAGAAAGTCTATTTTTTAATCTTATGCAACAGGTTCTTTCACTGCAGGCTAAGTAAGAACAGTTGGAGAGTGTGTCTCTTTTCTTTTTATTTATTTTGTTGTTTTTTTTCTTTTTTTCTTAGCATGCTTGCTTGTTTAAAAAGATTGCCTCTCTGTGTCATTGGGGAGCCAGTTCCCAGTAACGTCTGCTGTCTAATGAGCTCAGCCAGTACTGAGAGTGTTTCACTTTATCCACTCAGATTCTCTCACGTCAATTTAAACGGAGCTGTCAAGCTTTAAATTACAGGTCAGCTTCTTTAAAATAAAGCCACGGTCTGCCATGTACGTTCAGCTAAAATCTCTGTTTTTCTGTGGCTGTGTAATCCAAGATTATGTGGAGAACGTAACTGGAACAGTGTCTTTGATTATTGTTGAAAAATAAAATATTTATAAGCTTCAGGTACTTGAATGGATTTAACTTTCAGATGTTGTCAGTAATGCTGAGCATTGATTGTCTTTTCACTTAAATGTATTTCCTTGAATTTTTGGGGATTCGTTTGCGTCAGAATTTGTTTTGAAAGTAAATACTGCAACTCCCATGAGTTTGTGCCACCTGCATGTCACACCACATCAGTGAACATTGTTTTCTGGTTTTAAAGCACCGCAAAAATATAATCAGTATGCAAGGTTTATCAATTGGGGCCTGACAAAAAAATTAATTTGATCACTGTTTGTGTTGAGATCAGCCTGAAGTTTATATTGCAGAGAAAACCTTCTGTCAACAACTCCAAACTGAAGCGCTTGTCATGTTACCTATAAAAAAATACATTAAATCACCTCAAAGTTCATTGATTACCTTGAATAATTTTTGCTCGTCTTGTGACAGTTTCATTTTCTGTGCAGATAAATTGTTTACGTCATAATGTTCTAATTTAATCACCACAACTGATAACTTCGTAAATGCAAATCTAAATAAAAAAAGTTGATCTAAGAATAAAAGTTTATTAATTTGCATTTGTCTAATTGTTTCCCCCTTCTCACAAATTAAATATTGTTAACAGCATTTATTAAACCAGTTTAAATAAATAATTCATACATACATATATATATATATATATATATTATAATTTTAAACTTCCCACACTCTTGCAATATTCTAAACAATGTTTCTAAACACTAGAAGAGCACAAGGGGCCTAAAAGGTAGAGGCAGGGCAGCTGACTTGGGACACAAAGGTCCTGGGTTCAATCCCCAGTCATTGCACATCTCATGGTGTCTCTGAGCAGGACACCTCATCCCCAGTTGCTCACCGGGCACCTCCAATAGCCATCCACTGCTCCACCCGGTGGTGGATGGAATAAATGCATATGGGAACATACAATGATGGCAATACATACACATTATTATTATTATTATTATTATTATTATTATTATTATTATTATTATTATTATTATAGAAAGTCATGATTTCCCTCTCTGTGCCTCCAGTTGCTTGTTCTCTGCCAGCGCTCTCGGCCACGCCCACTTCTCCGCTGCAGAATGGGGATGATGCTGCGGGAAGAAGCTTCTTTTTAAATAAAAAGTACATGCTGATCTTGTGGCTCATCCATCAATCGGCCAATTGTTTGCCATGTCCTATCTTACTTTGAAAAACTGCAATAGAGCAAGTCCGCAAAAAATGAGCCACGAAGTAGCGAGGGACTACTGTACTCACAGTAAATGGTGGCTGGGTTATGGATTTTTATAAACGAACAGGACTTTTGTTCATTTTTTGCAACATATTTTTTTATTCTGCAATTTAAAGTTTCAAATCATTTTTGGACACATTCTTTCAAACAATAATGTTTTCTTAATTAATTTTACTTCACTGATGAAGAAATGTGTCTGAAAGTTTTTTTTGTATAACAAATAGTCGAAAACATTGATTTTTACTTGTCTGAAGAATGACAAAAGATCATAAAATCAAGACTGACGGACATTATGTAACCTAATAACTCATACAATTGATTTTTGATGCTAATCTTGGCTTTTTCTTAGTTGGATGTAACATATTCCTTAACAGGCTGATTGGAAATCAGATTAGTTGTATGGATAAAAACAAACAAACATAAAAACATCTGTGGGGTTATGGTTGAATTAAGGTCTTGAATGGGTGCAAACATTGGAGGGAAATATAACTGGTAATACGTAAATAATTAGGCCAATACACAGAACAGTGCTGTCCCTGTAATATGAAAATGTAGACCTAAATGATTGCAGCGACTGCAGAAACTCCTTGTAGTTGCTTTTTCTAGCTTCAAGCCGTTTCCTCTTGTGAAAGATTTCTTTTAGTTTAATCCAGTGGTTCCCTTTAGATGTTTCATGGACTCAAGACTCTACATCAACTTGAGTCAAGTCTTGAAATTATTTCCAGAAAAACAATTAACAGAAAAAAAAACTAATAGCATGTTTTGCCATAACTGTTACAAGAGAAAAAAACACATTGGTACAATTAACTAAAAATAGTCTAATGATGACTGTGGACATTATGTCCTTTTTGAAATCGTAACGTTTGATTGGGTCGCTGCTGTAATTTTGTGAGTCAGATGCTGAAACGGTTTAATCAACAGATGGTGGGACATCTGACTTTACGTTGTTAGGATTCTTTTGATAGTTCACAGTGCACAACTTTAAATTGTTAAAAAGCTTTACTTATTTATGGTAATATTACCAATAGACACAATATTTATTTAGCGTTGATTTTCCTAATTTTTTTTTTTTTTTACTTTAAGCATATTTTACTTTAAACTAAATTTGTTGCTTTATACTTTTTGGAATACATGTATTTGCTCAACAAACAAGATAAGAGTACGGCACATAGATCGTACAGGCAAGGTAAGTATACATTTTATTTTTAAAACTAATGTTGGAAGTTGAGCCAAGGCACATTTCTATTTATAACAGTACAAAAGCCAACAAGG